TATAGTTATAGTATCATGGGCCCCCAAACCCAATTCTAATTATCAAGGCCCGATATTAGAGGCTCGGTAGAGAGTTCAGGGTCCTCCTAGAGCGCGAACTGCAGGCACTACAGTGCGCCGCGCGCTGTGGACATGGAGACGTAGTCGACGAGCTCCTTCGGGCGAGAGCAGCATCTTGGCCCGGCTTCGGGTTGAGGGTTTAGGGTTTAGGGTCTATATAGGGTTTAACCTGACCCCGAAACCCCTGAACTCTAGAACATATACCCAGACCCTTTAATTTAAGGGCCATTGAATAGAGCTCCCATGGCCCTTAGCACTGGGTATCTAAGGTATATTGAACCCCACACCCTAAACCCTGAACCCTAAACCCTTAACCCTGAACCCTAAACCCTGAACCCTGAAGGCTAGTTGGGGGTCGAGGTAGGCTGGGACCCCAGCAAGATTGTTGAGAGCAGCTACGAACCATCAGCCCGGGTTTAGGGTTTAGGGTTCAGGGTTCAGAGCAAAAGGGTTTAGGGTTTAGGGGCAGATCTGATATTTCAAGTCCTATTCGGTTTTGTGGATGCAAGCGCGCCCCAAGCCCCACAGCACACAGGTGGAGTCTTGGCTGATGAGGGGTTTCGGGTGGCGGCGTCTTGGTACCGACAATCAGGGGTTTAAGTTTAGCTTTAGGGTTTAGGATAAACCCCCCAAAGGCGGCCACATTCCGTTAGCATCATCATCTTCGTCAACAAATTGAAGTCACCACGGGCATCGCGATCAGCAGCAGCCGCAGAAACGGCAGCATCACAATCGCATCACTCGGTTCTTATACCAGCAGCCGAATGACTGCAAAAAGAAGAGGAAGATAAGGGCACGAAGAACAGTAGACAGAAGACAGAGCACCGTAACTTGTAGGCACAAACAAACAGACTCCACGCTTTCGCCTTAAACAAAGCATCACTCGACCACCCGATCCACGCTGTGAACTGTCATATACTCTCGATACTACTGCTCTCAAAACGCAAAACTTCCACAAAGCCTATAGTAGCTAATCATTGGATACTTCAGCAGTAACGGCGAAAACACCCTACCAAAAGCCATTAACCTTATATAACCCCTGGATCAAGCGCCCAAACACGAAGCAGGATGTCCTGGCCGGGCCGCGCACGGCCCTTCAAGGGGCTGCGCAGGCGGGCCATTTGCCGTGCCTTGACGACGGTCTTCAGGGTTTGTGATTGATGCTTGAGTTTTGTTTTACGTATCTTTGTGTTAGTCACTAGTGATGTGGTTCGTAGAGTCTTGTTCTTTCCGCTGAGGATTGTCAAGAAGCTTCTGGAAGCAAGGGCGGACATGGATTCGCCGTGGTTGGCAACTGGGCTGCTTAGGGGCTCTTTGAGCGTCCAAGTATCCCTAAGTTAAAAACCTTGAACCCTTGTCCCTGCAAGCCCTAAACCCAAAATCCTTTTCCCTGTAAACCCTAAACCCTTCTCCCTAATAGCCCTGCCCTGAACATTATAAGCCCGAAACCCTAAACCCTATACCCTAAACCCTAAACCCCTAAACCCTAAACCCTATAAACTTCAGTTAGAGAGGGCTTTCGGTCATCTTGGGGTTTTTAAGGACTCTCTCAAGACCTGCATCAGGATGGCCGGGTACTACGTACTACGGGTCCTTATGGGAGAATCGCAAAGTTTAGGATTGAGGGGCTAGGGTTTAGGGTGCTGAAAAGGGAACTATACCATTTTTTGTTTGGGGGGGGGGGGTCCTAATTGTAGCTATAGTATAATATACCCCCAAACCCTATTGTTCCTCAGGGTTCAAACCCTATTCGAAGTATTAAGGGCCCTACAGCATGCCCATCTGACGTTTTGGGGCAGAGTTGAGCTCCTTCTTCGCCTGAAATCAATATTGGGTCTTAGGGTTTAGGGTTTAGGGTTGTCGCTTTCACTTGCCCCGTTTATGCCAAGCTGTGCTGATTCGTCTTGTTTTGTAGAGCAGCCACTGATGGTCATGAGTGAGATTGTCTCCGGCGAGGCACGATGATGGAACACCACAATCACAGTTATCATCATTGGTCCTTCTCGTTGTCGGCATACACCCAAAGCCTGTTCTGAAAAAGGGAGTTTTGGCTTTGGGATTAAGCTTCTATTCAGGTGATGCGCCCACCAAGCATACACTTAACCGATACTTCCAACCCTGCAACAGAGCAAAACCCTTGCACCCTAAACCTCTAAGCCTTAGCCCCGAGGCCTGACATCCCGAAGCCCTGTACCTTCGACTGATGTACTGCTCCTAAGTTCGGAATGCAAAACTTGAGAGGGGCATTCTGACGACTGAGATCCAGAATCAGTTGAGAGCGGCTTTGGATGCTGATGGACCTTACCTATAACCTCCATTGTAGTTGCTGTTTTGGATAGTCTTATAGGATCCTAAATATGGAATTGGCTAAGCCAGAAAAAGCAAGTACAATGGAGACTATAGGAATTAGGCCTTTGGTTCGTTTGGTCTGGGTGCAGAGAGTTGTCTCTAAACTCCACACTCAACCCTAAACCCTAAACCCCTAATCCCCTAAACCCTAAACCCTTAACCCTAAACCCTAAACCCTAATCCATAAACCCCTAAACCCTAAACCCTAACCCTATAAACCCCTGAACCCTAAACCCGGTGTCAAGAGGTGTCGAACTCCATACTAGAGACGGCAACCTGGGCTCAGCAAGAGCACATCGCGCCTCGGTGCAGGGTAGGGTTTAGGGTTTAGGGGTTTAGGGGTTTAGGGGTTTATGCAAGCAGTCAGCAGACAATCCGAGCGAGTTCAGGGGTTTAGGGTTTAGGGGTTTTGGGGTTTTGGGGTTTTGGGTTTAGGGGTTTAGGGTTTAGGTTTAGGGGTTTAAGGTTTAGGGTACGGGTTCAAAAAAAGGTTTAAGGTTTTTGTGGTTCAAGGTCTTATATGAATTATGGGTGTGGGGCGTTTAGCTGTGACGTGCTCTGGAACTTCATTGATGCATGAACCCTAAACCCTAAACCCTAACTTAAGCCCTTGAACCCATGCCTGGGGCTTCAAGTTTCATTTTCATGGGTCTGGATTAATCCTTAAACCCTAAACCCTATTCCCTAAACCCTAAACCCTAATCCCTAAACCCTAAACCCCAAGTCCATTAGGCGGAAGCATAGTCCCGGAACTGTTGCACGACTTCCTTTGAAAGAACCTACAACAGGGTTTAGAGTTTAGGGATGTGTAGACCTCAAAGACTACACCCTGAATCCTAACCCCAAACCTAAAGCCGTAGACCCTTGAACCTTGAAGCACTAAAGCCCAATTTCCACAGAAATTCTGAGGCCTTAAGCCTTAAACCTTCCGAAAACGCGAAACCCCAAGACCCGCAGAATCCTTCAGCCCTTTTCAAGCAAACATGAAACACGCAACGCCCGTTTGAAACAACATGCCCGCACCATATAAAGCCCTAAGACCGGGGGCCTCTTCAGTTCTCAGGTTTCCTACTTGCTGCAGAGCAAGGCATCCCTACTCTCGAGGCCCAGCTCGCATATAGGCTTAAGGAATTATAAGGATTAGGGGCTTTTAGGGTTTATAGGGTGTGTATGCAGTGTGCAAGCGGTGGGTGCCCCTCTTACTGTAGGAACGGGGGCGCACGCACTTCTCGCGCGCTTGCGTCAGCGTGTAGTCCCGCCCCAAACACCCCAACTATTCTCAGTAAGGGTTTTGGGTTCACCCCCCAAACCCCCCTCAAGGGGGGCTTCCCTGCTCTCTGCCTCCCTTCGCAGCTCGACACATAAACGACCACGTTGCACAGCAAACTAGTGGGTCTCCGCGGCTTGTG